AAAAAAAAAAACAAAAACAAACAAACAAACAAAAAAAAAAAACAAAAAAAAAGTGCAGTATCTAAGTAGCTTAGTGTTTCGTGTGTTTTATCATCTTTATGGATGAAATTTTGCACTAATAAGTATGCCAACTACATAACAAATTTAGGTTCATTGCATAGATTGAGATATTGACAATAAGTATCGTTACACTTGTAAACTTGTCCATGGACCTCGACTAAATCACAGAAGAAACAACATGCAAGGATATATACTGAAATATACTAGATAAAGATACTAATTGCAAAAAAAATACAAAAAAAAGGAAGATATCGAATGAAGGCTTAAGAATAAGAAACAAAAGTGAACTACCAAGAACGTGCTGCAGGTATATAGTTTCAACTGCAAAAAGATTGGCTGATTCTAAGAAAAAAATGTAAGTATAGCCTTTATGATTGCCGCATTTAAGAACTGCGCTAAATTCAGAATAAGTATAACTAAACGAAAAGCGGGCAGAGTCCGAACTTAAAAACCAAATCACAAATAATACATTCTTTGTAATTTCAGAAATGTTTGAAAAACTCTATTCCCGGTTCAATAAATTGCCCCATGCCATCAGTGATTACGTCACACCAAAACATTCTGTTGTTTGAGTTAGGACGGTATCAAGTCAAAACCAATTTTGCAAAGAATGTTAATAGCTCCCCGTGTCCGCGCAATCAACAGGAAGACCGCATCATAGACATGTTGCAACGTGTTCAGACAAATGCAGACATGTTCTAAAACCACAGGTAGCCCAAGCTCTACAATAGTCGCTTTTCGCTGAAATTTGATGACAAATGTAAAAAAATGAGCGAGTTCGAGTCTGACAATATTCTCAACGATGTATGATAACTGATCAATCATTTAAACATCCATGCTATAACTATCATACAAAAAATCTAGAAATTGGAGTTGCTGTGGTTTACACGAATCTTCGGCCAAATCATTACGATAGGCTAAAACTCAAGTAAATGACGGAAAACAAAAATTGAGCTAATAGAACAAAACGGAAATCAAGAAATTGGGCTTCCTGTTCCGACGAGCCTTCGAACATAGGTGACATGCGGTACGACACTACAATTGTCGCGCCTTGGTTTAAAAGACTTACGGAAGAAAATTGTTGATTTTTTTCTTGAAAAGTGCTTTTAGGGAATTGCTATCAAGCGGTTGGAAGCGTGGAAGTGACTCCAAGTTAAGTTTGGTCAGCAGTTGAATTGGATTTGAGACAGAGGTGAGTTGACATCCAAACATGCGACGAAATGCGTCCGTTAGTTTTTTTGTTATGGATGCAAGGGTCTTGCTATGTTCTGTTTTGTCTTGTTTTGTTTTGTCTTGATACAGTTCATAGCAGTCTAACCCCAAGCTGATTTGTACTGGATTGAGTTATATTGGACTGGCTCAAAATAAACTGAACCAGTTCAGAAAAAATTGAACTGGTTCAAAATCATATTGAACCTGAACTACAACATATATTTATTGGCATATTCATTCATTTGTTTGTTGATATGTTTCTTTACTGATTTCTCTATCCCTTCCCTCATTGATTGCTGCATTCGTTTGTGGATTCATTCATTCATTGATGTGTATTATAATTCTCTCCCCAGCATTTCTGTGGCCAGTCAGTCACTTGACACTGTTTTCCTAAGACACAATAAGACAAGATATGTAGAGATTCAGAACTGGACAGAAGTTCCCAAAGCACCTTGGCAACGTCAAGCCAATTGTGGTGGGTCCTTGCTATGTTCTTTTTTGTCTTGTTTGGTCTTGTGTTTTTGTTTTGTTTTGTTTTGTTCGATGTTTCCGGGCACTGTGCTGGTTAATGTGACCCTACACTCTTTCTGAGTGAATGCAAGTTAGAGTCAATGTAGAGTGATACAGTTCATAGCAGTCTGTGATCAAGAAACTAAGGATGGTTGTCCCACTGAGTGGTCCAAGAAATCTCGCAGTGAAAGGCTCCGGGCCTAAATTGTCTGTGTTGACCTACTTTGGCGGGCAATGTTTTTGGCGGTTTGATGGACTGACTGACTGATTGACTGACTGATTGATTGACGGACTGATTGACTGATTGATTGACTGATTGATTGATTGATTGATTGATTGATTGATTGATTGATTGATAGGTCAGAAGATGGATTGATTGACTGACTGATTGATGCCTTGATTCCCTCATTGTTTTTTTTATATATATTTATTGGCACATGGGCTTTCCAAACTTTCAAAGGAGACTGGAAACTATTCTTGTCTCAAATCA